TTTTTGAAAGTTAAAGTGTTGATTTTTGTTTTTTTATTAATATTGTCATTTGAGGGTAGGGTTTTTTTTTTTTCTTGCATGGAACTGATAGTATCTTTTAGGAACCACTTACTTTAAGTTTTCTCTTCACCTCCCTCCTACCGCCACCTTGAGACAAAGAACACGATTCTAGAAGTGGTTGATGGAGACAAAGTGGTCTGGCTAAATTGTCTCCTGAAGCCGGAGGCTTAGGGAGCCACTCTCCTTAGGACCCTGAGGGGTCGCCTTACATGCTGGCTGTGAAGTTCCCCGCACTGAAGACAGCAGATTGCCAGTTTATTAATCAATTAGAGGGGAGGCCTGATCCACGAAATTTGTGCACTGGGGTGGGGGGAGGTCCCTCAGCCTGGCCTGCATCCTTTCACAGTCCGGGAGCCCTCGGGGGATGTCCGACTGACAGCTTAGGCTTGCTCCCCAGCAGTCGGACATCTTTAGTTCTGCCGTGGAGGCGGGAGAGGCTTCCACCATTGCCACTGTGCTCGCCTGCTGTGAGCCAGGCGCAGGGCTTGTGGCTGAGCAGCGCTCCCCCTGTGGGTGTGCACTGACCACCAGGGGGCAGCTCCTGCATTGAGCTTCTGCCTCATGGTCCATACGTGCTGTTCGGTCAATTTGCATATTACCCTTTTATTGTATAGGATAGGCAGACCCACTCTAGAGTCCCAAGGTTCCTTGAAGAGAATAAATAGAATCACAACTAGGCCTGTGCCACACAGGAGGCTCATGGGAAAGCCTTCTCTAGGGAGACCGGATGTGTGAATTCTGACGCTGCTCTCGTCATGGCTTTTGCCTCCCTTTTCCTTGCTCCCATGGCTCACCAGCTCCCCGCTCACTCGGCGTCTCCCTGTTCTGACGATTTTAGAAAGTGCTGCCTTTGAGTCCCACAGTTCTCTTCCCTGTAAAGGGGCACAGGAAGTCAGCTTGCTCCTCTTATTCTGGCCTTGTGACTGAACTCTTCGTTTGAGTCTGTACTGTGGACTGAATTTGCTTTGTTAATTCAGATTTCAGGAACAATAGTCGATAAAAGTGGGCGGACGCTCTCTGGACAGACAGGGGAGGCGTTTGTCATCAGTGTGTCGCACGCAGACCCACTCTGGTGAGTCATCGTTCTTTCCCGCCTCCATCCCT